CCTAACAGCCCCAAACAACAGCTGCCCGCGGCGGGCGCCCGGCGGGGCCAGAGGCACCACAAGCTTCCCAAGGGCGCACAGGCCAGGAGAGTGGCACAGCCTCCTTTGGAGGCACCCCCGCACCACCTCTCCCTGCAGCTCTCAGCATTTCGGGGTGGGCTTGAGGGTCGTTTTTGGTGTTTGAACCCCGTTTCCGCACAGCTGGGAGTATTGTGCACTGGTGGAGCTGCCTCTGTGGTGACAGAGGAAAAGCTGCGCGCTCCTGAACCGCGCCATCGTTTGGTCAGCCATCAGGGTTCAACTTGGCCTTGGCCAGGACATCTGGAAAACGAGAGAAACCCCTGCTATTTCTGCCCCTTGAACTGGGCAGCCTCAAGAGGGAACAGGACTCCTACAGGTTCCTACCACTGGTCCCACTAAGGGGATCACCGATTTAAGGCACGCAAGCCTCTTAGTGCTAATGAGCTAAGCACCGGCAGGTCTGATGAGGCTTTGGATACAAGAATTTACTTAATCCTGTGATAGGGAAGAAAAAGCTGCTTGCAGGAAAGCAATGCACTTGGCCGGGGTGTACGGGCACAGGGCACACCATGCAGCTCCAGAGTTGAAATGGCATCCCCAGCACTGCAGGGGTGATCGTGCAGCCCAGGAGAGGCCAAGCAGGTACTTGGATTGCATTTGGTTGTCTGCAGCTCGTTTCAAAAGCTCTCAACTACGAAAAGGGACATCTAGGAAGAAAAGGAGTTGCTGCTCAGCCACTCTTGCTGGCCCAGCGACTGTCCCTCCCTCCAGCCAGAGCTGGAGGAGGAGAGGGTGTCAGCTCCTTCCCCGCACGCGACTGTCAGGAAGCCCCATGACCCAGCACAAGCGATTTGGACTCCCGGGAAGGCGGCCAAACAGGGATCCTGCTTGCCAGCTGTGCTGGAGTGGGCGCTTCACACCCATGCTTTGGGGCAGGTTTTGGTCTGCCTTTGCAGGTAAGAGCTGCCCGGCCTCAGCGGTGCGGCTCCATCGTCCCTTGGTGGTTCTCTTTAGGCTTGCATGGAAATCCAGCACGGGACACTTGGAGCGCAGGCTGTTTGCCTTTCTGCAGCAGCCAGCTTCTCCTGATGCTTCCCAGGCTCTGTGCCTGCACATGTGAAGCATCTGAATTTGTGGTGACAGCCCTGAGCCCCAGAACCTGCTCTAAAAAGAGCAGGGCCGGGGCTCCCCTTACTCTGCAGCTACCAGTATCGCCACCCTGGCTTGCTGGTGTCTTTTTGCAAGGTGCATGTTGTACTATAGGAAGGTCTGATGCATGGCAATGCAGGGTTCTGTTGTGGTTTTGTTTTGTTTTCTTTTCTTTTCTTTTCCTGCATCCATGTTAGGTTTATTGTGATACTGGTCAACTGTCCAGTGAGGTGACAACTTTGGGTACTGCTGCAAAGGAGCCCAGTGGGTCTGGTCAAGTGTCAGCATTGCTCCCACTGCCCACAGAGAATTCACACTGCTGCTTGGCTTCCTAGCAAAACCCCAGCATCCAAAGCCTAACAAGTAAGAAACTAAAGTACTCTGTTAGTAGGTCCATGACAGATAGGCAAAATGGTATTAATGATACCATATTTACATTACAAATATAGTAAATATATAAAGTATATATTAATTTCCTCAGTTTCAAGTACTTCTTTATTCTTGGTGCACACTGCTTCTGCCAGTCATTTGACCTGCTGTAACATCCCAGCTCCCATACCTGTGAGTGCTTGTTAGTTATGATTCATCCTTTCACATGGATACAATCCTGGCATTCCTTGTTTTCCTGTGCTGTGTCAGGCAAAACACATCCCAGTCTTCTTAAAGCTAACTTTACAGTATCAGCCTTAACAAAACTCTTGATTCATGCCAGTGCAGGAGAAAAAAATCAGGTCCGTGCTGTCTCCTTTTTTGCATGTCGCAAAAGTATCTTTTCATCTGTATTTGTTTCAACGGACTCATCTTGTCCATTGGAAACATCCCTGGAGGATGTCGCTACCCCTCCGTGGGCTCCAAGCGCTGTGGGAGCCGGTCTGGGCACCACACCGCTCCAGGGCCTGCGTGGCACCTGGCAATCCCAAGATCCCAAGTTTAGGCTTTTGGTGCCTAAACATGAGCAATGGAACCAAGACCAAGAAGTTTAGATAGAATGAGGCAGAACTTTCAGACCCATGCCAACTGTGCTCGTTAGGTTATCCTCCAAGCTTCTAGCCAACCTGCTGGACTTTGGTTTAAAAATCTCAAAATGAGCACCTTGCGTGGCTTTCTGTTTCCTAAGGCATGAACATCTCTGCGGTCCCTGCTGGACATGCCCTCGTCAGGGCTGGTGCTCTCTGCTGACCCATTTGTGGGCTTTGATGATGGAGTGTAAATTTTTCAGTCAAAAACCTGGTTTCAAGCACTTGGCTCCTCAAAAAGAGACTCCAGGACGCTCAATCAGGCACCTCAGCCCCTGGCTAGCACGGACAGGGGCATTGGCCTCTCGGGGCAGTGGGACGGACAGGCATCCCCCAGCCTTGGGGATACATTGGGGATACATTGACAGGCAAATGTATGGGCTCTGCACTACCAGGGTGTTGAATGAGCTTGTTCAAAGCTTGGGCGTATATATATAGACATGGCCTGTATCTATAACATAGGACACGTGCCTTGTGTTTACCTCTTTTTCTGTTCCCGGTGAGTGGTTGAGGAGCATCAGGTAGATGGAGAAAATGAGAGGAGAAATCAAATCAAAAGCAGATTGCTGGCAACTCAGCCTGGCAGCTTCTTGCTTACCAAGAGTTGCCCAACACCCATCTGGCTGCATGAGGACCCAGGATGAGGAATGAATGAGTCGGTGTTTCCTAAAGGTGAGAGGAGACTAAATTGGGCTAAATATCCTGACGGTATCTGGGCCAGCAGACACGCCACCTCCGTGTTTCACCTCCTCCCTTCTCAGGCAGGTCCAGCAGCACTTCTGTCATTAGGTTAGTGGGGGCAAGGGCTTGACCTTCAGTCACAGGCGCCCTTCAAGTGGGACGGCCTGTGCTGGAGGAACTATTGCCAAAATAATTCCCACAGTGTAAAAGCGCTTGGTAGGCAACCACCTTGCAGAAAAACATTAAGGCATGGCAAGAAGTTTAATAATAAAGGCGAATCCTTTAATATAAAAACAGGCATTAAAAACGGGTTTTGAAGACCTGCCGTCCCGGCCTTTCGCTTTTGCAGGCTCTCTTGTGAAGCTACGTTTCAAGCCAATGAAGGACCGAATCGCCCGCACCCCAGAACTACACACAGTGAGCTGAAAAATGGGGAGCAGAAAAGCAAGCTCAAGTGCATCAGAGTTCGAGATGACCGTGTCCCTCAGGACAGCGCTCGCTCTCGGCACTGGCATCAAATAGACTAAACGTTCATTAACAGGAAAATATTTTGAATTTTATTTTTTCACGTTATTATCAAGTACACAATTACAATAATGTCACACATCCCTATATGATTCTATGTATTTTGTTTTTTTCTTTTGTCTTTTTTACAAAGTGTACAGAGGGAAGGACGTATACAATATTTAACAGGGTATTTTCTACAGAACAATAATTTATATTATGTCCTTGTAAAAATCTGTACCTTTTTTAAACATTAAACTGAAACATCCATTTTATAGCATTTGCTAAGCAAATTATTTAAGAATTAAAACTAACCTGTAACTAATGTCAGTACATTAACAATAACTATAATTTCATTTTCTCTTTATACAGACAAATACATTTTACAAAATCCACTTGACCAAACCCTTAATAAAAAAAAAGTTTCAACATTGTGCTTTAAAAAAAAAAAAAAAAAAAAGTGTGTATGATTCCAGGCTACGTAAGAGAAAGAAAACGTGTAAAACTGTGTTCTTTGTCTTTCAGCTTATTTAAAAAAATAAAGTTCAAAATGGCTAAAATCCTCGGCAATGCTACGGGAATTTATGCAGATTTTGTACACTTTTCCAGGTTTCCGGTTAGAAAACGCTTGAACATA